AAGACAACTGTATATAGCAGAGATAGGGTAATGGGAGAGGGGGAAAGGGCAGAGGGACAAAGTTAGGATAAAAAACATATATATATGTATACATTGTATGAATGTAGAAATGGAATATTATTGATGATAAAAAAAAAAGATAGCTTTAGGATCATCAGCCAGGCAGTTTGGGATTCAGATTGGCCAAATTTTAATAATACCCTTGGTCTTCAGCAGCCTGGCCTATGCATTGGAATTACTTGCAATTCCACACATTAATAGTAGCCAGTAAATACTCAGAATGTCATCTAATGTCTAAAATAAAGATCTCCCTAAGGAGTTATTCAGCCTCATTTGATTTTTGCCTTAAGACTGAAGAGCTTTTGCCATGCAAGTCCTTCTATTTTTTTTAATTATGTATTTAATTTTATTACTTATTATTATTTTAATTTGACCAGAGAGAGAGACACATGCACACATATACACAAAGAGAGAGAAAGTGCGAAAGCAAGCCGCTGGTCCAGAACTTGAACGGCAGTCAGCCATGTGGGCATCCAGCACCTCAAGCACCGTGCCCCCGCCGGCCCTGCCCTTCTATTTTATAAAAACTCTTTAATGCTTATGAGTCACTTAGGAGTGCCCTGACATCAGAGTAAGATCTGCCAAAATTAAAACTTGCCCTTTCCTCACTGTGGATAGAGAGGTGATTTTACCCTGACATCAGAATAAGATTTGCCAAAATTAAAACTTGACCTTTCCTCACTGTGGATAGAGAGGTGATTTTTAAAGGAGGAAGGGAATACTTTTATCATGGGCAAAAGTAAGGGAAGTTACAGGGTTGAAACACCTTCCCATACTGGAGGTCTGAATCAAGAGAAATAAAGACAAACATGGAAAAACGGGGGAAATTTGGAAAGTCATTGTGAAACACTGACTCAAAGAGCAACATGGATAGAAACTTAAAACACAGCATTTTCATACACATAAACCATAAGAAAATAGAAAATCAGTGTGTTCAAGTAAAGACATAGAAACAACTTACGCCGTTCTTGCTCTCAAAAATCTTGTAATCAAAATATTGATAGATGAAAATTAAATTCTAAGAAATGTACGATTTCAAAAACCATACTGGTAAATAAAATCCTTTTGAATCCAGCTGGTTAATGAGATATAACTTAATTTTAAAACAGTCAGGGGCCCGTGCTGCTAATGTGACCGTAGCTCTGGACACACGTGGGCTTGACCTACTTGGCATTTGAAAGCTGAAGTCAGCGAGGCTTCCTGTGTCCGAGCTGTTTGACCATCTCTGGTCTGCAGCACAGTGCAGGATGGACCTGATCCTGAGCTGCCTGTGTGTGCAGCTCAGCACTCAAGCAGATCCTCGGTTTACTTCGGCATGGTTAGTAGCAATCAAGTGAACGATTCTGTGTAGTCAAATTCACATTTTCTCCTGTGTTTAGCAGCAAAAGGAGACTGACTCCTCTTGACCCAGCAGTGTAGAGAACCCACTGGTAATATCAGGATGAGACAGTAAATATTGCCAGAGTCAGAGGGGAAAATTCCCATGTTTTTATTTTCTGTTTCCAGTGGTCTGATTCTAAATCCACCTGCACATGTTAAGCTGCATAAGAACACCTTGGGGTTCTTCATTGCTGAATCTCCAAAGGAAGTAAGAAGGTAATTACTATTGGAAGAAATCACTAAAGCAAACAGATCTTAATGGGAGGCAGACTGAGCAGGCGCCATGCCTGCTTGGTCATAAGCCTCATGTAAGTCATTCTGACCTGCTTTTATCATTCAGAGCCGCCTTCTACTGCTACCTCTGCCACCACAACGTGCACAATCCTGAGCTCATTGAAAAGTGCTGCTGCAGCAAAGTCAAGACCCGCCAGCACTCCGCAGGTAACCAGCTGTCAGGTCTGCCTGTCCTTAGCCCAGCTTCTAAGGTTCTGGCCAAGGAAAGAGGAGAGGATGCCAAAGACGATGCTTATTTGATGTAGACCAAGAAGCGACAGACAGTTCTCCCTGGGCATACAAGACTTGAGAATCAGGCTCTTAGAACTGAAAGAAATCTGACTAGTTATTAGTTCAGCTCCCTTGCACCAGGCACATGAGTTCGGAAAATGACTCAGTAATGTTGTCCGAAGTCATTCAGCAGTATCACCCATCCCAGCTCCAGGCACGCTGGCTTTCAGTCCCTTGCTTTCACTTTTACACTTTATCACACTGGCTTTTCCAACTTCAGATGGAAAATTCTGCCTGTATCTGACTGTGTGGTTGGCTAGCAGGTGCCTCCTTGTGGCCATTCCTTCAGTATTCTCTTTCCTTATTGGGTGGTGGAGAATTTACTCTTTCTGACACAGTGATGAGGAAATGCAGCTATGTTTCTCTAGTTGAATTCAATGTCTTACCAACTCTTCCTACTCAACAGCAGGAAAAGAAAAATTAACCTCAAGCATTCTTGATAACTTAGTCCCTTGTCTAAAACTCAAGACCCTGGTGTTCCAGAATTTAAACCTAATCAATTCAAAATTTGAATGTCCTGCCTGGGATGGTTCTCTCTGGCTGGTTAGATGCAGAAGTAAACTTAGGTGTTGTGTTTTCCTGGTAGAACTGCAAGTCCTCATTTACTCTTCTTCAGGTTCCTCAGTCCCTTTGATCTGTAACCACCACCTTCTGTGACCTCTGCATTGATGACCAGGGAATCCATTTCTCCTAGTTTGGGCCACCCTTTGAAATGTGTTGGCACCCTTCCCCCCAGAAAATTGGCTGTAAGTGTGTGGGCTAATGTCTGGCATCCCAATTCTAGTCCATTTTTGTGTTCAGCCTTGTGCCAGTACCATACTGTCTTGATGACTATGGTTCTGTAGTAGATTTTGACACTAGGGAATATGAGTCCTCCAACTTCGTTATTCATTTTCTGGATTATTTTGATGTTTCTTGGTTTCTGAGTTTCCGCATGAACCATAGACTCTGTGTGCTCCAGGTCCACAAGTAAGACAAAGGAGTTTTTGACTGTGATTGTGTTAAATCTATAGGTCAATTTTGAAAATATTTCTGTAGGGCCATAACTGTGGTGGTTAAGGTGACTGAATCCCACATGACCAGTAGCACAGCTCAACACCTGAACCCAGTAGTTTGAGAAACACACTGGGCACATGGGCACGCATGCCCAAAATCCCAACAGGATTGAAAGGGAAGAAAAGGGACTGTCATGTGATCATCCACATGGAGTGAGTTTTATTACTCTCTCTCCCTCTCTCTGTCTCTCTGGCCAACACATATACCATCAGGAAAATTAAAAACAAAAAAGTTGCTTTCCATTTCTTTATATTGTCCAACATTTCAGTTTCCATCCTAGAGTGCAGACATTTGGTATATATTGCAGAGGGCGAAAGGGAGGGAATCAAGGGGAAAAAAGAAAGAAGTAAAATGGTTAAGAAACACAAAGTAGAAAATTTATCTGTTGAAGATAATAGGTATTGTAATATCTTTGATTGGGCCAATATTCAGTGTATTCTGGGTGAGAAAATCCATTTTGTATGTTGCAATGATATACAGTGGATAAATACAAATTTTTAAAAAGTAATTAAAACTACAAAGCTACTAAACTTTGTAGTAAAATTGTAATTATGGTTAAATTTTGGATAAAAACCCTGATTTATTCTGTGTCCCAGAAGTTCATTATGTAGTGGCTAAATTTTGGATAAAAACATTTATTCTGTGTCCCAGAAGTTCATTATGTAATAGTGATATTATTCAGTTTCAGCCAAATATTTTTAATTTTTAGCCATTTAACATAAATTCAAATGCATTCAGTATGACTCAATGTCTAAATTTATGTCCATCTTTTCTTTTTTTCTTTTTTTTTTTTGAAGAGGTTTTTGCTATAGGGCACATGCGCTCACCAGACAGACAGAGAGAGAGAGACAGAGAGACAGAAAGTGAGAAATCACCCCCCGGGGGGATGGCCACACCACAATTCCTTCTCCTCCATTCTCCTCTCGGGATCTTGGGCATGCATGCACATGTGCCCGGTGTGAGTTTAAGCCACCAGGTCTGGGATGCGAACCGCGGTCAACTACATGGGAGTCCAGTGACATAGCCATTACACTAACTGCTGGTCCCATAAATATGTCCATCTTTTAAAAAATAAACATATATAGGGACCAGCAGATAGTATAATGGTTACTTCTCTAGACTCCCAAATAGTCAACTGTGGTTCAAGTCCTGGACTTACAAGTTTAAAACTCATGCCAGGCATGTGCATTTGTGCCCAAAATCCTGAGAGGAGAATGAAGGAGAAGGGATTGTGGCATGGCCAATACCCCCTGAGGGGTGATTTCCTGCTTTCTCTCTCTGTTCTCTCAATCTAAAGCAAAAATCTCTCTACTAAAAAAAAAGCATAATATGGATATAAACTAAAAAAAAAGAAAGAAAAATATTGCTGCTTAACTATATTAAGCCTTCTAATCTATGAACATAAGATTTTTCATCTATTTCAGTCTTTAATTTATTTCAACAAGGTTTTATAGTTTTTGGATCAGTGATTTTATACTACTTTTGCTTATTTGATTACCGTTTTATTATTTTTAATCCTATTGTAAGTAAAATTGCTTTCTCAGTTTTACTTTCAGATGGTTCATTGTTAGTATATAGAAACAAAATTGATTTTTTGTATATTGATTTTGTATTGTTCAACCTTGAATCAATGAATGAGTTTATTCACTCTAATAGCGTTGGTTTATCTTTTTAATTGCTAAGTATTTTTCATTTCATTTCTTACTTAATTGTCTTGGAAGAAGCTCTGTGAAAATGTTGGCTAAGTGGTGAGAGCTTACATCTCTATTTGTTTCTGATCTCAGGGAAAAACATTCTGTCTTCCACCATTAGGTATAATATTAGTGGTGGGGTCTTTCATAGATCCTTTTACATAGCTGAGAATGTTTTCCTTTATTCCTAGATTTTTGTAGGTTCTTTTTTTTTTTGAGAGGTTTTTGCTATAGGGTGCATGCGCTTGCCAGACAGACAGACAGAGAGAGACATAGAGACAGAAAGCGAGAAATCACCCCCTAGGGGGGATGGTAGCGCCGCAATCCCTTCTCCTCCATTCTCCTCACGGGATCTTGGGCACACACGCACACGCGCCCGGCGTGAGTTTTAAGCCACCGCATCCGGGACGCGAACCGCAGTCGACTTTGTGGAAGTCCAGCGATATAGCCATTACACTAACTGCTGGTTCCCGATTTTTTGTAGGTTCTTTTATTCATAAAGTATTTTAATTTTTGTCAATATTTTTCTGTTCATTGAAATAATTATGTGTTTTTTTTCTTTAACTCTATTGATAATGGTATATTGCATTGATTGATTATCAGATGCTAAAACAACCATGTGTTTTTTGAGATAAACCTCACTTGGCTATAATGTAAAATCTCTTTGTTTATTTATTTATTTCTTAGTTCTATATATTTTTTAATTGCCATAAGGGGCATGCCCTTGAAAGAGAGAGTAAAGGAGAGAACCACCAGGGCCAGCAGGTGGCATGGTGGCTAAGGGCTCTGGACTCCCACTTGGTCGACTGCAGATTGAGTCCTGGACCTGGCAGGTTGCTTTATCACTTTCTTTCTCTTTCTGTCTCTCTCTGATCCCTCTCTGGTCAAATTTTAATAAATAAATAAATAAAGTTAAATATAATAATTCTTAAAATAAAAATTTTAAAAAATAGAAAGAGAAAACCCACCAATGTAGTGTGTTTTTTTTTTTTTTTCTTTTTTGTCACTTCTCCATCCTGTTGAGTTTTAGGGCATACACACATATGCACCTGTCATGCTTATCGAGCCACTGAGGCTTAGATTCGAACCATACGCTATGTGAGATCAGAGTCCCTCAAACATTGGGCCAGAGACTTTTCTTTTTTCTTTTCTTTTTAACAATAACAAAAATAGGACTTGGTCACAGTGGTGTATGCTGCCAGGATTCTGTGCCCTGTAAGTTGGGACCACATCAAAGATCTTTCTGGTAGAGTGATCTGTTTTGTCAATAAAAGGATTTCATTGTTTCATATACGATTTTTGCCTTAAAGTGGATGTTGTGTGAACTTAATATACAAGTTCTCTTTGGGTTAGCACTCTCATGAACTCTCTATTTATCCTTTTTCTTTCAACTTTGGGTGCCTTTGTGTTTAAAGGGTTTATCTTGTATACATCATAAAGTTGAATCATAAAGGTTTTTTCCCCAGTTTGCCAATATTTGATCGTTACTTACAGAAGTAATTCATTTATGTTTAATGCAATCACTAGATTGTATTTATATTTGCTCTTTTGCTATTTGTCTTCTACTTGTCATTTCTTCATTATTTTTTAAGTCATTTATTGCATCCTTCTCTTGCATTAGGTAGGTATTTTCTAGTGCATCATTTTAATTGCTTTGTCATTCCTTTTAGTATATATTTTTCAGTGATTTTCTTGGTGGTGGCCAATAGTTTGCCATAAACATCATAAGGTATAACAATCTAGTTTTGATTCATCTCAAACTAATTTTATTTTCATTATTTTTTAAATTTATTTTATTCATTAAATCCTTATACATCACTTAGCTTGTAAAGTTAATTTACCCAAAATGAATCCCCATCCCACCAGTCCAGATTAGGGCACTAAACTCGTTACCCTCAACAGATAATAATCCATATCTGTGCCCCATGAATTTCTTTCTTCTCTTTTTTTCCTCCTTAATTTCTTTCCCCCTTTTCCTGTCCTCTTCCCACACTAACTTCAGTATCCCTAACTGTTCTCCATGCTTCACAAACTAATTACAAACTAAATAAAAACTTTGTTCTTACATAGTTCTAATACCCCCCTTAAGCTGTTGTCACAAATTATAGCCTTATATAAATGTGCCCACCA